CGTGGGTTAGTTGTGGGCTTGGCAGTGTGGGGTTAACGGTTGGACTCGGTGATCTTCAAGGTCCTTTCCAACCAAAATGATTCTGTGATTCTATCAGTGTCATGGAGAGTGTGAAAAGGGATTGGTAGTTCACTGTCCCTTTCAATGTATTTAGAAGGCATCAAATTAAGTCAGTAGATGGCAGGTTCAGAATAAATGAAAGGAGATGGTTCTACACACAGCATGTAGTTAATTTGTGAAACTCATTGCCCCTGGATGATACTGATGTTAAGATTTTACGTAGGTTCAGAAAGAGACTCGCCAAACTCATGTAAGAATTGTCTGTCAAGGGTGAGCGTAACAAAGATACCAAAGAGAAGTGTCTCTTTGGCTGAAGAAGTCACCTGAAGGCTCGGGAAAGTATTTTTGAGGAAGTATAGTTGTATTGTTGTTGTATTTGTATGTACTTCCTAATGTGTTGGCTTCTGTCAGAAACAGGTGACTGAATTGGTGGTCTGACTAATATGGATGGTTTTTATTTTTTTCCCTAAGTGCTGTGGTAGCTCGGGAGCCCCTTCTCTGCTTCCTAAGAACTCTTAATTCTCAAATGCGAAGTAGTCAAAAACATTTCAGTGGTACATTCTTGCCACTTTTTGCAGATTGTCCCACATTAATCACACAGTAAACCTGGAACTGATGCATAATTTCCAAATCACCTGTTACTCCTGTGACAAACTTTATTGAAAAAGCTTGCACGACAGTGTCTCATGAAACATGGTGCACAATCAAATGGGGGCAATACATTTTTGTTAATTAAATTGGGTAAATCACTAATATGTTACAATTTAAACCCATTTTAGTAAATGAAATATTTCAACTGTAGGTGTTCTTGGCCTTGGCAGTTTTGAAGCATGCCTTATTATGGAAGAGTTAGCTTATGGGTGTACGGGGCTTCAAACTGCCATTGAAGAAAATTCCCTAGGGGTGAGTTCGGTCTTTTCTTAACGTCCCTTAAACTAGAATCTGTGCCCTTTAAAAAGATGGATTAACGGTCTAAATATTTTCTTTCAGCAAATGCCAGTAATCATTGCAGGAAATGAGTGTCAGCAGAAAAAATACTTAGGAAGAACCAATGATGTGTGTAAGTATAACTGCTACACTGTAGAATGCTCCTAAACCATATTAATCAGTATTGCTCCTTTTTTCCCCTTTTTTCCTTTTTTTTCCTCTCTTCTTTTTTTTTTTTTTTTTTCCTAGAAGACACTGACATGTTGTTATGGCTTGAGAAACCCACAACAATTTACTGTCATTTAGACAATCATTCTCTCACCCAATGACCTCTCCCCACCCGGGAAAAGGAATGGGGAAAAAACAAGGAAACCCGGGAGCTGAAGTATAAACAGATTTGATAGAATAAGATTAGATGATTAACATTAATAGCAGTAAAGAACCAACATTGATCCAAATACCAGTACAGAATATGCAAAGATTGCCCTCAGCCCATTCTATCTGTAGAAGCCGTGCGCTCCCCGCAGTGACAGCCCACGTGGGACCCTGCGAGCGCTGCGGCTTTGGGAAGAAGGGACGGGCTCAGGGCTGCGGCACCAGGGCGAGGAGTTCTCAGGATGGCAGCCATCACAGGAGGGAGAGAAATCCTCAGCAAACTTTCTAATTTCTATGGAATGTGCTGTTCCTGGCATGAAATAATCCTGTTGGCCAGCTTGGGTCAAGCGCCCGGCTCTCACTCCTCCTCATCCCTGCACCTGGCGAGCTCGAAAACACCGAGACCTTGAAACCCACACACCATAGCTGGCTAGAAAGTCAATATTTTTCCCAGTTCAGACACTAGAGTCTTCTAAAAGTGCAGTCTTCCCAAGTATTAGAAGAGAAATTAGTCCTGTGTCGCTCAAACCAGGACATATGTACTCACAACTCAGTCCACTTTGTTTTGTAAATAAACAGCGGCATTTACTGAAAGTCAGGGAATAGCTAATGAGATACATTCAATAAGCAAACAGAAGATACTACTTGGGAAATCGTCCCCATCCTCAGTCATTTACCAAAAATTAACACCTTTTATTTCCCCTTCAAGAGGGGGTGTAGGCATTTAAGAAAAATACGAGGTTTGTGTAATGAGAAACTCAACTTGAATGGGAATTAAACTCTATTTGTGGTCTTAAATATTACATAAGCAGTGCTTGTTACATAGAAAGAAGTAGAGATTAATGTGCAGTGCATTAAAATCTGACCAGGACAACAACTAGGCCTCATAAAATAAAGGACACAGTAAATATAAAATGTTACTCAGTGCTCTTATTTTCACATTTTAAAGATCCTCAGCTGTCACATCAGAGTTTGTGAAGCCTGAGGAAGTAATGACTTACGGGTTACAGAACGGTTCTGTTTGATTAAAAGACAATTTTATGTACTATTATGGATTTATAAAGAAATTAACCCGTATACGTTTGGATTCTTGCTCGGACAGCTGCTGTGGGGTTTTTGTGTAGGGTTGTTTTGAAGGGTTTTTTTTATTTAATCTTTTGGGTTTTACCGTGCAGTTCACTTAAACCTTTTACAGATCAGTTTGATGCATATAGTGTGCAATAATTTGTGGTTGCTTAAAAATAGAACTTTCATTCCTCGAGATTTTGCATTTTATTTTCTTTTAGGCTTACTGTGTAACAGAGCCTGGAGCGGGCTCTGATGTGGCTGGCATAAAAACAAAGGCTGAGAAGAAAGGAGACGAATATATTGTTAGTGGCCAGAAGATGTGGATCACAAATGGTGGGAAAGCAAACTGGTGTGTTAACTGTTAACTCATGTTATATTTTCTGTTGTTAGGTTATATCATGGCTTCCCCCCTGTCCCCCAAAGTTAAATTCGTCAAAGATCTGTTACAAATCTGAATGTTTGTTGTGTTTCAACGCACTACACTAATCTGACCAGTTTATTGGGATACGATACAAGAATGCAGTCTTAGTGCTGTGCAAAGCCTAAAAAGGAAAATGAGCCATGACATGACACCTGCTCACTCAAAAAGGCCTCTCGAATCTTGCTGCTATCAAACAAAATCAATTCTGCTTTTTCTTCAAGGCAGGACAGCGACAGTATGATTGGGAAGGGAAGACGTTTTCAGCTGTCAAAGAATCCAGATGTTGCTGTGGTGTCTGTGGAGTGTGCTTTACAATAGAAACCTCTTTCATCAGGTCCCACATCACACTGATTCGCAACACACAAATAATTCTTAATTCAAGTGGAAAAACTTTATACATTTATCCAAAAGTTGAATTTTCTAGTTAATTATTTCCTTGTTCAAGGCAGATCCATCAAAGACAATCTACCAATATCTTTTTACATTACTAAACACCATAAATGTGATTTACAACTGTTTAATTTCTAAGATAAATACTTATTTACAACTTACACTTAGAAGAATAAAATTAACATCTTTGAAATCAGGTGATAACATAGCATTTTGCATGCAGTAATGTATTTCCTAAGCATTAATTTTTATGTAGATGCTGTAAATAGGTTTCTTTTGTACTACTCATGAAGCTGATAATATCATAAAGACTTACAATACATGGAAAAGGTGGAGAATCTTTGCATGTTGATCTGAAGTAATTTTATTAAATTTTATGAAATCTTGAATCTTTGAATCTTCCTCTCTCTCAGTCCCTCTCGTTTATTTTTGGGAGGGACAAGAAAAAGGGGCTGTTAACTTAAAGATAGAATTTATTATATGGTAGAAATGCACATAAAAACATGTAGAATGTTAGCTAAAAAAGTATCCCTCTGCTTTATTCTACACTAGGTATTTTTTGCTAGCTCGTACTGATCCAGATCCAAAAGTTCCTGCAAGCAAAGCCTTTACTGGATTCATTGTGAAGCAGATAGCCCTGGGATAGGGAGACAGGTGAAGGCTGCATCTCTTATTGAACACATCAGGAATCGTTGTTCAATTCTAAACCAATAATGCAACAAATTACCATGAAAGAAAAAAGACTCTTACGCAACCGAACGTTTTCATACACTCGTGTACAATGATCTTTTCATTTTCACAACATACAGAAACTATTCATAAGACATATTTCATTATAATTTTATTAATTCAGCTAACAAATTATTCAGAATGGTCTAAAGTAAGATGAATTTGAACAGCTGCAAAAGAATCTTTGAGAACTATTTTAGACAAGGGCCCATAAATGAGAAGTAGCGTGCCTTGAAAGGATAAGAAGCAAGTTGAACAGTTCTAACCATAAATACACAAATAGCGAGCTTTAATTTTAGCTACCGCTGGTGGGAGCAGAGGCCTTGGAGACCCTGGTGCTAGTTCTCTCTTAAAAAAAAAATAATAAAAATTACTATTTTTAGTAGAAGGCAAAACTGGATGTTGAACATTAGGAAAGGAATACGAAAACCTCAAAAGCTCATTTATTTATTTACTTGTACACCCTGTACTGCCTGCATCTCAGACTATTTACTTTCTCCTCTCCCATCTCATATAGTTGAACTAGAGAAAGACAAAAAGACTGATTACAGCTACAGAACTGATTTCATATAAGGAGAAAGTAAACTGCCCTGCTTAGACAAATTAAGGACATGCTGGTCAGCAAGTGCAAAGCTAGTATTTGTCGTGTCTACGGTAATTTTTAGATTACATGTTTTGGGGGAAAAAAGCATACTTTATGCTTTGGGTAAACTAAAGAATGAAAACATCTTGTACCTGTGAATAATGCAGTTTAGTTGCACCTCTGAAATGTCCCTTTTCAGGAAATGAATATGGGTCAGCGCTGCTCAGACACAAGAGGTATTTTCTTTGAAGATGTGAGAATCCCAAAGGAAAATGTATTAATAGCTGAGGGAGCTGGCTTTAAAATCGCAATGGGAGCTTTCGATAAGACCAGACCGCCTGTAAGTATCAGAAATAACTTACTTATGAAATCTAGCAGGAATTTCTGATTTTTTTATTCTGTGCTGTATCCAATTCAATTCAGGTAGCAGCTGGTGCTGTTGGATTAGCAAAACGAGCACTTGATGAAGCTACTAGATACGCTTTGGAGAGAAAAACCTTTGGGAAAGCAATTGTTGAAGTAAGTGGGGGGAGGGCGGGGGGAGAGAGAGAGAATGTGTTTTCACACCAGATGTACTACTATTGATTTTTCATGGTTATTCCTTGATTTCTTTAGTTCCTTAATTTTTATATTGTATCTCTCCCATTTTTGGGTTTCCCACTATACATGTCAGCACCATTTAAGCAAACTTAGCTATGTGGTAACTTCAGGAATTTTTCTATAATTTATCAATGATAATAGTAAAAGCAGAAAGAAAACTCTGCCCAAAACCCTGAAAATCATGTACTATCAGGACATACTTAAATTATTCAGTGCTAATAAACAGGGATTTTCAGGAAAGGGTAAAACCTCTGAGGTATGTGAAACAACACAGAGTATTAATACTAATAGAATACATTGCAAATCACATCATTTACAAGTTTTAAAGAAATATGAATAAACAGCAAGGTAAATACCAATCTTATAAATACTACAGAATAACGTCATAATTCAGTATTTAATTCCTCTGACTATATGGATTTGAGAATTAAAAACTTTAAAGTCTAATTCAGCATACATTTATGAGAGCCTGATGTGTATTCTGTAGAACTCCTCTAGTACAATTCACTGAGTTTGTTGAAGAGATCACAGTATTAAGATCTTATCTTTCTTGGATGTCATAGAATATTAAGCCGGCAATGTTACCCTTGTTTATTTCATCATTCACAGCACCAAGCAGTGTCTTTCTTGCTTGCTAAAATGGCAATGAAAGTGGAACTGGCGAGGACGGCTTACCAGCAAGCTGCCTGGGAAGTTGATGCTGGTCGCAGGAACACCTACTATGCTTCCATTGCAAAGGCATTCGCTGGTGACATTGCACACCAGGTAGCTACGGATGCAGTACAGAATTTTGGAGGAAATGGATTTAATACTGAATATCCTGTAGAAAAACTAATGAGAGATGCTAAAATCTACCAGGTAAGTAAAAGAGAGAATGTGATCTTTATAGCAATGCATAAATTTTGTATAAAATAAACTGATGGCTACTTATTTCGTCATGATGTACACATATAAAAAAAAAGGTTTTCAAATGAAAACAATAATCTTTCAATTTAGAGAAAGAGACATTCAAATCAGGCAATTTTTTGCTTACAAAAGTCATTGCACTGGACCAACAACTCAACCCAATTTATTTCTCAAAGAGAAATAAATTATGTTTTATCTCTCCCCCGACTCCACCCCATGGTAAAATTCTTTGAAATTCTTGGGACTTTTAATTTTGAAGCTTTTGAACTCCGAGGGAAAAAAAAAACTGTAGAAAAAACTGATCAAAATATCAATGCTCGCTTTGGTATTCTGTAAGTAGAGGCGGTTTATGTATAGTGCTGTTCTTGAAAACATTCAGTGGTGGAAATCCTCAGACCTTCCACATGCAGCCTGGACTGGTGCCTGCCTGTGGTTCAGCTTTCCCCTCGGGCTGAACACTAAAGCAGCTTCTTCCCCTTTTTCCTCATAAGTTGTAGGGGGTTGTGTTTGTTGGTTTTCTTTTCCGTTTCCAGTCTCTTCACCATTTGTTGCTGTGCTCTAAACCTTCTGTTTGAAACTTCACTACCGTAAGCTGGGTAGAATACTTGGGTTGAGATATCACCAGTACTGAGTAGCATGGAATGATTATCTTGCCTGTGTTGTATTAACACAACTGTGACACAACCTGGAGTGATTAGCCTTTTTTTTTACAACAAAACCTGCTTATATTTACTCATGTTTAGTCCATAGTCACCTGTAATCCCCAATTTTTTTTCTGCAGTGTTACTGCCGAGAAAATATTCCATGTCATGTCGTAATTCTTCTATTAGCATATACCACGCTACAGTTCTTTATTCAACATGAATATTTTGTGTTCCACAAAACCAGTAATCTTTATTGACAATATGTCATTATATGACATTAATAGCCACTAGATAAAATATATCAAAATAGATGATATCAAGAACTGCACGCGGACCATGACCTCTCCTGTTAATTAGCTGTAACACCTGCCATTCTTAATGCTCTACGAAGTTAATATTTCTCTTACAGCTGACTTTAAAATGAAAAGTATTATTCTCACTAGCCAAGAATGTATTTTTCTCTATTTAAGGAAAGACACCCACTATTTTGGAATGTAAAGGTTCTTAGAACTAATTGCACTCCTGTGAGTGAGGAAATGAATGATTAATTGAACTTTATTATGATTGGGCTTTTTTCCTGTCAGGTTGCGTGCTTTTCTAGAGAAAGATGGTGTGAGAGTTTAAAACTTTATTTGAAAGCTGAGATTTATTTTCCAGAGTCGCAGTTATTTAGATTTTTCATTACACTGATCCATCACAAATGTATGGCTAAGTAGACTTTTTTTTTTAATTGTTCAGATGAATCAAGTTTAGTATTAAATTTTTGGTGGTTGTCTGTTCTACTTCATCCCCAACAGAATTCAGGAAAGCCTTTTGTCTTTGTAATTATCTTGTCCATGTCTCTTGATTATACCGTGCACTTCACTGTGCTTTACTGTATTGCTGCCCAATTCCAGATGGTATATGCTTTTGGCCATATGTTTCATGTACAAAAAAATGGGTTTCCAACTTTTCTTCCATATATTTGACCCTTTTAAGTATTACACCCTTCTGTGTTTACTGGTAAGATTTTTACGTGTCCTTACTCTGCTCTAGGTTCATCTGGCTACAAATCTAGGCTACGCTGGAGAAACTCTTAGTTTCCTTTCCCAAATTTGGAAAACTTCCCTTCTTTAATTGTCAGTGATTCTTGAAACTATTTCCATTGGCTTATAAACCAAAGCCTTTCTTGTTAGTACTTAAGAGTGTGAGTTTTGATGCCTTTACACTTGAGTTCCATGGCTGTCTTCATCAGCAAGTAATTCAGTGCAGTTGGAGCAGATCGGTGGGTTGCAGGAGTGGCTGCTGAGACCCTGACAACTGCACTACGAGCAGTTCGGGCAGGCTGAGCTGTTTGGTCCCTGTATGTCCCCGATAGGCACGTAACTGTAAGGGTCATGTCTCCATTAGGGATTGGTGGGTATTTGGCATATTGAGAAAGCAGAGCTTCCATTTCAGTTTGCTCCAAAAGGCACCACATAGTCACAAAACACAGTCTGCTCCATGAACCACATAAGCAGCACCAGTCAGAGAATTCACTTTGGGAATGAACAATTTCTTCTGAACAGAAAACCAATGTGAACGCAGGTTATAGTGTCTTTATTTTCAAAAAGCTTTGTAAGGTTCTTGGAAAGATTATTCCTATAAGTGAATGAGAAAGTGAATTTGCATGAATTTGAGCAATTTGCCAAACCAGGTTCTGGCAGTACTGGGAGCTGAAGCACTTAAACCCCTGTTGTCTCAGCCCTCGCGCTGCACTGCAGTGCACCAGTGGAGCCTATGGCCTCCCTCAGCATTACAGCTTCGTGTATGCTTTGTTGTCCATCTTCGACTTTGCTGCCAGCAACCAAATAGAACAGAGGGATGATGCAGACTGTTTCTAGAAGAAAATGCAAAAATACATCATTTAAAAAAAAATAAACCAAAAAAAAAACCCCAAACAAAACTGTATGGGAGACAGTACTGGTTAACAAGAAACAATGGAAATAAATGGATCAAAGAGAACATTTGGTATCACCTTGAAAAGCTTGTCAAAGAAAATACAACAGTTCCAGCATGTCACCTCCTCCCCTCCACCTATTGTTTTAAATCCTGTTTTGTAAAACCTAAACAATGTATTTTATTCCTCAGATAAGAAATTTTCCTCATCCTTTTTTACCTATGTCTGTTTTATTTTCATGAGAACGTTACTGGGTTTAGGTACAAGCACCTGAGAGAACAAGGCTGCCTCTCAATGTCTTGTATGCGATTTATTCCATTTAGCCCACTAGTTACTCTATCACACTGGATTTTTCTGTTTTCTCTGTCTTTCTGCGCATCCCAGTCCCCACTGGATTAGTGCTATGAATGTTTAGTAGTGTAGATCTGTTAAAACCTTTTAAAAAATCATCACCTAACATTCTTGCAATTCTTCTTTTCAGATTTATGAGGGAACTGCTCAGATTCAAAGGATGATCATAGCTCGTGAACACATTGGCAAATTTAAGGCTTAAACAAATGTATAAAGTGTGTCTGGCGCTGCTGTAGTGTTCTGTGTTCTCGTGGAAAAGGATTTTAGTGCATTTCTCAATAGAATTAAAAAGGCATGGAGGAAAAAAACAACTTTCCTTCAAAATCTTTTTATTCTGTACATTATTGAGCACTGCTTCTGTTCTCCCTGTCCAGTCTCTGACTTCATTCCTGACTAACAAAGCTGCTATTTTCTAAACGTTCTGAATTCCAAAGTGATTGGTTGGTCAAATGCAAAATGCGCAAGAAACGAGAACCTCATAGTGCAAGGTGTTCTCACTATAAAATTAGATGATCGGAATGTTATTGCTGACAGTTATTGATGCATTCCAATAAATTTTTGTAAGAGAAGGTGGTTGGTTTTTATTATTTTTTCTTGTCACAACATTTAAATTGTATTTTGGGTAAGTTGTCTGGTGTCTGAAATACGTTAACAGCTGTACTTCAGTTCCTACTGCGCTCCTGCCCGCAGCGCCTGAGTGGCGGTGCCTGTTCTGTGCTCTGCTGTTGTCTGCAGGATTTGGACACTGTCCCACAGTAACAATATCTGCCTGAGAGAATGTGGCCTTATGCGCTGTTACGCTCGCGTAAGCCAGTAAGTGTTCAATTAGGATGATTCACTTCAAGTGAAAGTGTGTAGCTTTTCCTTAAGAATGACTTATGAGATCATGTCTATTTCAAATCTGGTATATTTAAACCTATTATTCCTTTCCCTCGATGTATATACCTAACTATGTTTGCAGCAAGAACAGCTGAGAAGGAGGAACTGTGAGATTTTTAAATTTTGTTTCTACCCTTGGATAGACCCTTCTTGGCGGCGCCGGCAGAGTGGACGTTCCCTGGACTTTTTGAACAAATTACTCGGCCCTGATGAGGCCGCACCTGCAGTGCTGCGTCCCGGTCAAGGCTCCCCAGCACAAGATACGGACTTACCTGGAGGGGGTCCAGCACACGGCCACAAAGGTGATTAAGGGCCTGGAGCATCTGTGGTGTAAGGGGAGGTTAACGCTGAGAGTCGTTCACCTGGGCAAGAGAAGGCTCGGGGGTCACCTTACCTGTGTGCATAAATACCCGGTGGGATGCAATGAAGAGGAGGGAGCCAGACTCGCCTCAGTAGTGCCTGCAGACAGGACAAGAGGCAACGGGCACAAATTAAAACACATGAGATTCCACTGGAACACAAGAAAACACTTTTTTTTTTATCGTGAGAGATGGCATACACTGGTTGTGGGGCCTCTGGAGATGCTCAGCACTCAGCTGGAGGCGGTCCTGGACAGCCTGCCCCAGCTGACCCAGCTTGGGCAGATGGTTGTGCTCAATGGCCTCAAGAGGTTCCTTCAAACCTCAACAATCCTGTGATTCATTCTCAAGTTCTCACCAAGCTGTCCGTGTCTCGGTGTGGTCTCTTTCAGCCATCACCTGCACTTAGTGCTGGATGGTACGATTGCTGTCATCAGGTACCAGTTTTGCAACGCTTACATCTCAGGTCGGCCACCTGGGAAATCAGGTCTTTATTTAAAGTGTTTAATCACTATAAATCACCAACCTATTTACCCACAGGAAGACCAATAATGCAACATCCTTGATAAGTACTTGATATATGTAAAAAATAGACCTTATTTGTGCCAGTTCTGTGCCAGCCAGCATCATACATCCTATTCCTTGTGCGGAATCCAGACGGGGCGTTCCTGCTGGCGGGGCTCTGCGGGGGCGATGTGCCGCATCTCACGTCGGTAATCGACAGCGTGACCGCCCCGAGAGCTCCAACCGGGGAGTGTGTTGGGACGGATGGGCGGTCACCCCTCCTTACCCGCTCCGTCAATTAAATTCTTGGATTTGCGTTCCCACAGAGCTGAGGTGACAGCAGGAAACTGCAGCTGCTTCTAAACGTCGTGTCTGCGGCGGTCCCGCGCCGCGGGAGTTGCTGTACTTCACGTTTAACCCCTCGCCCGTTTCAGGACGCCCGCACCT